AAATGAAGCTGTAAAATGTCAAAAGGAAGATAATTATTAATCACTTAAGGAAAAAAAGAAAAAGTTATTTTTCTCCAAAACTCACATAAAGTATTTCACGGAGAATTTAAATAGTAAATCACACTACTGGGTCATTCAAAGTGAACTCAAGAGCCAAAGGATCTGAACTTACAGAACTCAGATGTAACTCAGATGACTGAAAAGCCTAGACCTAGACACCCATGGCATATTAGGGGTTATTTCTAGAATGTAATCAAATATGAACAGGCATCAGCTATCCTTTAGTTCAGTATAAAAGTTTATCTTTGTATTCCATAAGCAGCTTTCTCTTATCTTTATGTCCATTCCCGTTCAGTTGCAGTAATATTCGTAAATTTACAAACAGGTAGCACTTCAAAGCACTGTTCTAAGGAATGTAACTGTATGAACTAAGATAACCTTGGTCAGTACCTCCTGAAAATTAGCCAGTTCATCGTCCTTTATAGAGACGCAGCATTACTTAATTTTCATTCAATGAAACATTCTATATGTTTTTACTCTTACACAGTTGTTCAGCATTGTGTGAACTGAGAGATGTAAGAAAGAAAGAAAAGAAAGAAAGAAGAAAGAAGAAAAAGAAAGAAAGAAGGAAAGACAGAGAGGGAAAGGAAAGGAAAGGAGAGGAAAGGAAAGGAAAGGAAAGGAAAGGAAAGGAAAGGAAAGGAAAGGAAAGGAAAGGAAAGGAAAGGAAAGGAAAGGAAAGGAAGAAAAGAAAGAAAGAGGGAGGGAGGAAGGAAGGAAGGAAGGAAGGAAGGAAGGAAGGAAGGAAGGAAGGAAGGAAGGAAAGAAGGAAGGAAGGATTAATGTTTTAGGACATCTTCCCTGGCCTCGAGAGCTTACTACCTCATTTTGGACACCAAGACTTACATGGTATATTCAAAACAGATACCAGTGCTTCCATCTGTCCACTTTCAGGCTTCTGTTTTTTCTTTTTCCTGGGTCCTAAGTTCTATTAGAGTTCTATATGAGTAGACTGTCATCAAACAGCACAAAGATAGTGGCCAATAATGCCCAAAAACTTCCCAGAAAGATTTGCATTTCTAGCCAAGGGCTCTTGTTTTTAATTTAATTTTTGTTATACAAGGTCTCACTATGTAGTTCAGGTTGGCATTAAACTCACTACATGGCCCAGGCTGGCCTTGAAAGTTTGCAGTGATCCTCTTGCCTCCTGAGTGCTGGTATTATAGGCGTGAACCACCGTGCCCCGCTCTCCAAGGACATTTTAAGAAAAAAAGTGGGTCTTTTTAAACAAAGTTAGAAAGGTTTCCAAGGATCTATTTACCTACCACGACCTATACCACACAAGCTGCTTTTATCCCCAGGTCTGTCATTTCCCTCATGAAATCTTAGCTTGTTGGTCTTACTGCCATCTACCATCCTACAAGGCAGTTCTCAGTTTTGGCTTGGTATGCCGGGCACTTTTGGGCCTCATCTTCTTTCTTCCCAAATAGACATACGACTTTCTAGCCTCACTGCACTCTATGGTTCCATATACAGGCCAAGCCCTTTATCAATTCCTTGCTCTGCCTTTGTCACCACTGCCCAGAATGTACCCTCTAACCGCTTGCCTTTTTGGATAACTGTGACTTTGAGCCCTGGCATAAAAATCATCTTTGTGCCTGGCATGGGGTGGTTCACTCCTGTAATCATAGCACTCAGGAGGCAGAGTCAGGAGGATTGCTGCGAATTTGAGGACAGCTTGGGCTACATAGTGAGTTGAAGGCCAGCTGAACTACATGGTAAGACCCTGCCTCAACACCTGCAAAAGAAAAACAAAAAAATATCATCTTTGTGATTCTTCTATACTATTTCAGTACTAGGAATTTAGCCTAGGGCCTTTGCACTAAGCTACATTCTTATATATGCTTTTTTGAGACAGGGTCTTGCTAAGTAGTTCAGGCTGGCCTTTTAGCTCATTGTGTAGCCTAGGCTGGCCTTGCACTTAGGGATCCTCCTGCCTCAGCCTCCCAAGGGCTGGGATTACAGCGGTGCACCACAGTGCCCAGCTTATTTTTATGGTTTTGAGACAGGATCTCCCTAAGTTGGTAAATTGGTCAAACCAAACTGGACCTTGCAATCCTCCTGCCCCAGCCTCCCAGAGTGCTGGGATTGTACTCAGAGTTTAATGCAGAGCCTTCTACTGAGCTGCATCCCCAGCCCTGTTCTTTCTTTCTTTCTTTCTTTCTTTCTTTCTTTCTTTCTTTCTTTCTTTCTTTCTTTCTCTCTTTTTTTTTTTCTTGGTCGTTTTTGAGACAGGGTCTCACTGTACAGTCCAGGCTGGCCTTGAACTCACTTTGTAGCCCTGGCTGGCCTCAACTATTTTCATAGTTTCAAAAAAATTTTTGAGAAAGGGTCTTGTTAAATTTCCCAGACTGGGCTCCAATTTGTGATCCTTCTGCCTCAGCCTTGCAGAATGATGGCATTACAGGAATGTGTCACCAAAGCCAGTCTCTGGAATTTTTCTTTTCTTTTTTACTGGTCTCTGGAATTTTTCTTTTTTTTACTTATTTTTAAAAATTTTACATTTCTTTGAGATAGGATCTCACTATGTTGTTCATGCTGCCTTGAACTCATTATGTAGCCCAAGCTGGCCTCCAACTCAAGGCAGTCCCCCTGCCTCAGCCTCCTGAGTGCTGGCTGGAATTAGAGGCCTGAACCACCTTTAGGGGAGGTCTTGTTTTGCCTTTTCCCACAGCACTTTGTACATGTGTTAGATGTTGCAGAAGTTAGTTTTCACACTATATTCCCTCACTGGCTTCTAAAGGCAGGGACCTGACACAGTTTCTGGCATATAAACTGTTTGGGTACATGCTTTTGAAAAATTTTTATTTTTATTAATACATGCCTGCAGTATATAATGATTACATTCCTCTGGGCAGTTGGTATATGTACATCACACATCTTAATTCTTTTTTCTCCCCCCTTCATCTCTTAGCCCCCTCCCTTTTTTTTTTTTTTTTTGGTGGGTTTTTTTTTCTTTCCCTTTTTGAGACAGGGTCTCACTATGCAGTTCAGGCTGGCCTTGAACTCACTTTGTAGTCCAGGCTGTCCTCAAACTCACAGCGATCCTCCTGCCACAGCCTCCTGAGTGCTGGGATTACAGGCTTATTCCACCAAGCCCGGCTTCCCCTTCCCATTTGCAAAAGATGTATTTCCGTTTCTTACATGTCTGTTGAATGTTTATGTAGTTAGAACAATCAACAGGTTGACAGCATTTAGTTTTCTTTTACCCCCGCTGAGAATGCCAGAGGATTAAGTAAAAACTCCCAGCAGGGAATTTACAAGGTTTATTGTTGCTAATTTAGCCAAATAGCTAGTTTTTTTTTTTTTTTTCTTATTAGTAATCAAATGCAAAACTTGGGCTCTTGGAACACAATGGTAGAAAACATTGACTTTTTCCAGTAGTTTTCCTAAAATGTCTCCTTTGGGACAGTATATAGAGATTTTGTAAAAGAAGGAAGTGGGTTTTAGCTTTATTTGGTTCACAAATTCCTGAGTTAATTGGCCAGTGGGTGGGGGTAGAGGGAGGGTAGTCCTGGGACAGGTGCTGGGGGCTGCTTCTTGGCCTTAGACCAGCCATCTTAGAAACTACTCCTGGGTAGGAAAGTAAAAGGATTTTCAGCTGTTAATACTGAGAAAGGTTCCTGAATTCAGGCCCTATTTAGTATTGGGTCTGTAGTGTTCCTGACGTAAAGGAGAAACAATTAGTTGCTCCAAAGAATCAAAAACTTTTTTTACTGTCTAAGCTCTTTTTCTTCTCTTTTTTTATCTTAACTCTTTGACACTGCCCTCTGGCAACAGGCATAATGGCATGACGTTGTCCTCTATTTCGGGGGGTTACTCCCGCCGCCTTGAAAGCTCTCTTTATTCTTTTATCTCTTTCAAAGTTTCCATTCCCCTGTTCCCTTACTTTTTACTCCCTCCTCCCCTCCCTTCCTCTCGCGTCTCTTTTCCCAGCTAGCTCATCCCGCCTCTCGCTGTCACCGCCTTCCCTCCCCTGTAGGCTTCTTGGCACTCCTCCCATCCCCAACCCAGGCCTCCTGCCCGGCTTAAATCCAGAAAGGTCCAATCAGGAGCTCCGAAGGTGTCTCGAAGGTCCGCCCCCTTCCCTTTCACTTCTCTGCCCCCCTTCTTCCCTCCCCCACTCCCGCACCCCCCCCCCACTCAAGTCTTGCGGACCAGGGGGCTTCGGGATCTGGGCACTATGAAAAGTGTCTGCCCAGTCACTTCCGGTAAGGGCATTGCGGCGCGGACCTCCCCGCGGGACCGTTAAGGAAGGGGTGGGAACTACCGCTGGGCCGGGGGCAGAGGGTGCTGCAAGGGAAGGGAAGACGGAGCAAGACCGGGAGCTGACAAACGTGAGCTTAGGGGTGCTTCAGCAGTCTCCTTCCCGCCGCGCCACCGTGAGCCAGCTCCCCCGCCCCTCGGGGGGCTGCGGTCCTTCTCTCCACCCCCCACTGCGAGAGACACCGCCCCTCCCTCGGCGCCGCGTGACCGGAAGTGGCGCCATCTTTAGCCTCTTGTGCTATTGACAATAACAAGACCTGGTTCTCTCCCCCTCCCCCTTCTCTCAACCACAGCACACCCCCCTCCCATAGAGAGGGAGAAAAGGAGGAGGAGCTGCAGCCTCGCAGACTGAGTCGCTCCTGCAGAAAGGGGGGAGAGAGATCGAAAAGCTGGGGAGGGGGGACGGCAGGACCGGTTACCTGTCTGCCTCCTCATTCGCTCTCCCCCCTCGTTCTGCTCACTTCTGGTGTCAGCCTATCCGCCTTCCCAACCTTCCCATTCCCCGCTGTGTGCTCCTGCTTCACTTTCCTTCTCGTCCTCTGTTTCTCCTCTCTTCTTTCTTCCCTTCCCCCTCTAGCATTGCCACTTTCTCTCCTACACTCACGCAGGCATATGAACGTAGGGTTTTGATGCTCCTCTGCCTGCTGACCCCGCTATTTTCATGTTTCCAACAGGTTTTTCTTCCCCCAATCCCTCAGCTGCTGCTGCTGCTCAGGAGGTCAGATCTGCCACTGATGGTAATACCAGCACCACTCCGCCCACCTCTGCCAAGAAGAGAAAGTTAAACAGCAGCAGCAGCAGCGGCAGTAACAGTAGTAACGAGAGAGAAGACTTTGATTCCACCTCTTCCACCTCTTCCACTCCTCCTTCACAACCCAGGGATTCGGCTTCCCCTTCAACCTCGACCTTCTGCCTGGGGGTTCCCGTGGCTGCTTCCAGCCACGTACCAATACAGAAGAAGCTACGTTTTGAAGACACCCTGGAGTTTGTAGGGTTTGATGCGAAGATGGCTGAGGAATCCTCTTCCTCCTCCTCCTCATCACCAACTGCTGCAACATCTCAGCAGCAACAACTTAAAAACAAGAGTATATTAATCTCTTCTGTGGCTTCCGTACATCATGCAAACGGCCTAGCCAAATCTTCTACCACCGCCTCTAGCTTTGCTAACAGCAAGCCTGGCTCCGCTAAGAAGTTAGTGATCAAGAACTTTAAAGGTAACCAAGGCCATAATCCATAATCAACTACTAAGGATTTGACACTTGAGCGGTCACGTGCTCTGTTTCTGTTAATACATTAAACAGTGTAGAGGTGGCCTAATGTTTTATGCATAATCAGTGAGGTGGAGGGGAGGTCCTTTTTTGGTGGAGGGTTCATTTTCCGGGTAGTGGTGAGTATCCTTGTGCTGAAGCATATACGGGTGTTTCTGTGCAGTATTTTTAAGTCTCTACCTGTGTTACCTGTCTGTCATTCCTTATAACATTGACAGTATATGGTATGATCGATCTGGGTTTTACAGGTTAGAAATTTGTATTCCAAAGAGGTTTATTTATTTCAGGTGCCTAATGAACCTTGGCACTACTGAGATTTTACTTTTCTGCTTCACTAGGCCACATCTCCAGTCTCTAGAGATGAAGGCAGCACTGGTGATCTTAAGCTCTAATAAAATTTAGAAATAGTTTCATAATGTTGAGTGTTATAGTCATGAAACACTTGGAGAAAAATATTTAGGGTCTCTGCATTTCTTTCCAGTAGCTACAGTTTGGAAATGAAAAAATATTGTGTACACACAGAGGTACCACTAGTCTAAGGATACAATTACTACATTTTTCATTACCAAAATGGGTTTTAGAATATTGATCTATAGCTCTTAGGAAAATTTTCTTGTGTGTGAGTTATGTGTTGCTTGTTTAAGTTACAGTGTTATGGGTGCAAAAATAAAAATCATTTAAAAATGTATTTGAGCAAAATTATTATCTGTTGAATGTGTTTCTATTTTTATGACTTTTTCACCCATAACTGGCCAGTAGTAGATGCTAAAGTGTTTATTAAATGAAGAAGTAAATGAATGAGCTAAAGTAACATTTATTGTATAAGTGCATTGTTGCTAAATATTAGTTCAAAAAATATTTTGTCTATACTGCAACTTTAGTGTAGAAATAAGGAATATGAACAATTTTGTATCAAGCACAAGTTATCACACTGTTTTTGTCTATTTTTAACACTTTATATCACTCTCATCAGGTTTTTGAAAGAGTTGTGTTCTTTCTGGTATAATAGTAGAGCTTTCTAAAGTGAATATGAAAAAAATAAAGTGAATATGAATTGTAATTGACTAATGTGTTCATTATTTCACTTATAGATATATTGACTTAATAGCCAAAAATTTGGAGATGGGCTATAATCCTAATTGGACTTGCAAACTGATTTCCAGTATTTTGTTTACTTTTCTGTCCTTCCTAGAGTAAAAACACATTCTCAAGGCATTCGGATGCTTTCATTTTCATTTATAAAAATCACTTTTGTTGCTGGCCAGTGAAGTTTAAAGCTAGATTAAGAGGCTTCTTTTCATTCTGAAAATTTTGCCTGGGTTTTGCAGTCATTTGGATGTTTTAATTTTTAAAAATTTCATTCTGCTTAGAAACATAGTTTAAAACCTGAATTAAGATATTTCTCTCCATTTCTGTAGATGCTGCATAAATTTGGGGGTTAAAGAGACCTGGATTAGAATCCCAGTTTTGCCTTTCACTAGCGAAGTGACCTTGGACAAGATTCCTGAGTTTTAACCTCAGTTTCCTCAGTTGTAAAATAGGAATAGTAATACCCTAGGGCATTGTTGAGAAGATTAAGAAGTTTGTAGAATACCTTCCCATAGTAGACTCTCAGTATTTTAAATCTCGGATACAAGATTCATGTCAGCTTTGGTTTTATGTATGATAGGACAAGAGCAGAATTGTTATGTGTGTCATGCTTGAATTATTACTTTTTGAGGCAATACAGTCAATAGGGGATTTAAAAAAACCTCACCTTCAGTTTTAATAGATGAGTCCATATGACTTGAACAGTATTCTTCTGTTTTCAGTTTTATTCATATTGAGTTTAAATATAGTAGTCACATTAATATTTGGACATAGTAGTTATATCACAATCATCCTAAAAATAGCAGTGCTGTTCTGTTTTATGGGTCTTTGTTTACTATTTCCTACCTATTATTCTAACCCCACTCTTTCACATGTGATCTAGATAAGCCTAAATTACCAGAAAACTACACAGATGAAACATGGCAGAAACTAAAAGAAGCAGTGGAAGCTATTCAGAATAGTACTTCAATTAAGTACAATTTAGAAGAGCTCTACCAGGTATGTATTAGTGTGGATAACCAGATTTGAGTCACCATACATAAATTGTGGTGGGATGCATATGGTTTTTACTTGCTGAAATGAGTCCTTAAGTACATTCTGGTTTCCATCTAATTATACTTTCTTCATTGATCAGTGCACTCTTTTATAATCAGACCACATACTCTCACATAAACTATGGTTACAAATTGGACTCTTCTTATAAGAATTCAGTTATATGCCTTGGTGTAATAAGGTTTTATCTTCAATGAAATCCCGTAGCATAGATCCTAAAGATAATTTATTGTGACCTGTCGTTCTATGTTGACAGTTGTTTTTTATTGTGACAATTCTTTATTTATTTATTTTTGGCTTTTTGAGACAGGGTCTCGCTATGCAGTTCAGGCTGGGCTTGAGCTCACTTTGTAGCCCAGGCTGGTCCAGAACTAGCAATGATCCTCCTGCCTCAGCCTCCCAAGTGCTGGGATTACAGGTGTGCCCCACCATACCCAGCTTGTGACAATTCTTGCTTTGTTGTGTTACCTACCTATGGGAAAGGCCTCAAGACATGCATGTATTCTTCATATTTTTTATTATGCTACGTCCTTATTAGTAGCTTTTTGCCATTGTTTTCTTTGCTTTTGATGTTTATTCTATCTGCTGGTCACCATAAAGCACACCTTAGCCTAGAAATGAGCAGCAAGTGATAGCCCAGCAACTTAGTATGAGGTTCAGATTGATTGCTTTTGCAACAAATTGGTCTGTACTTGAAATGGTTAACTTAAATATGTCAAGCAATTGACCCTACTGATTTATACATGTTGCTACCATGAGAGTTTGACCTACTATGTTTTGACACAACCAATTGAAGCAGTCATTTTCTGTTATTGCATTAGCAGTTTGCTGTTAAAAATACTTTTGATGACTATCTTGTAAAAAATTATGTTGGTTCAGTGTGTAAGTATTTCAGTTTTCGTATTTTAGTTGCAGATGTAGTATTGTGACAAATGAACTCTGGATTAGATTTGGGATCTAATTTTGACTGCTGTTACTTTTGTGATTTTTAGGCAAGGTACTAAACCGTTTGTTTCCTCCTCTCTAAAATAGGGGAAATAATTGCTACTGTATGTACCTTTCAGGGTTGTTTATAAGAATCAAATAAGTTGTTTGTGAAAAAAAAAAAAAACAGCTTGATGAAGCACTATGATATATAAATGTAATATGATAGCATTAGTCGAAGTTTTTCATAAGGCACAGTATAGTTTTTTCGCTTGGAATATATCAGTTGAGATCACCATTTTGTATTGCAATGAGAATTAAGTGAGTCACTGCCTGCAAAACACTTAGAACAGTGCTCAACAGGTAGTAGTGCTCTGTAATTGTCAACTGGTAGCAGTGATGCTGAGCTATTAGGTAAGGATAAGTGCACCTCATTGGCTCCTTTAGTATGTTACATGTGCAGCTCCTGAGTTGCGCAATAGTAAAAGTAGAATTGTGGTCTAGAGTTGGAAAGGCCTTCAGAGATCATGTGGTAGTATCTTTTCTTCATGTAGTGTGTGTGAGCACCTGCAAAGCAGAGTCATCTCTGTTACTTCACTTAAACATTCCAGAAACTCTTTCTGAGTAGATTCGTAGTAATTATCCATACTTTATTGATGAGGAGACTGAGTCTCAGCGAAGCCAAATAACCTGCCCAGAGTTACATTGGCAGAACGTGGGGAGGCAAACTCAAATGCTCAATTCCTATTGTTGTTTTTCCCTCCAGTACCACCTTACCAATAACACGACATTTTATATACTACTGTTGTGTTTGAAGCAATTAAATGGTTTTACTTCAGGAAAAGAAATCTTCATGTGTGTATATATGTGGTGGTTGTTTAGATGTGCTGTTATATAACCTTTTTAGTTTCAGTAGCATGTTACTTTATATTTTTCATATTTATAACATGTTGGTTACAGTTATTAATGAACCCTCTTTACTTTGAATATTTTTCCTGAGAGTTTGATTTGAAAATACTTTCCTTGATGAATTGATTCTAGTAAATCATTTTTTCCTAGTAAATCTTTTTGCATCAAGAGCTTATGGCTTTTTGTTTTTACTTTCATATACTTCAGAAATTTTACTTGTGTTTATTTAGTTGTGTTTCTTTAGCCTAGTTACAATTGTTACAACTGCACTGTTTGCATTTTTTGTAGTACCATCCTGCTTCTGCCATAACACATTCAAAAGCATTTGTTTCTGTTTGTTTGTTTTGGTTTTTGGAGGCAGGGTTTCCACTGTGCAGTTCACGCTGGCCTTGAACTCACTATGTAGTCCAGCCTGGCCTCCAACTCTCAGTAATCCTCCTGCCTCAGCCTCCTGAGTACTACTATAATAGGCGTGCGCCACCATGCCTGGCTTTTGTTGTTTTTTTTACCAGAATTTTATGAATGCTGCTTTGTCTTTTTTTTTTTTTTTAAGCCAGGGTCTTCCTATATAGTTCAGGCTGGCCTTGAACTCACTATGTAACCCAGGCTGGCCTGGAACTTGCAGCAGTCCTCCTGCTTCAGCCTCCCCAGTGCTGTGCTGGGATTACAGGTGTGGGCCACCATGCCCAGCTATAAATGCTGCTTTGGATTGTTCTCAGATTATCTTGAGATGTTCAAGTTCAAAAAGGAAGATAAAGAGGTGAAGTTATTTCATAATGCAGGTACTTGTTTTTTGATTCATTCAAATATAATTAAAAAGTGCTCTCCTAAAATTGAATGATAGAGAAAATATGTAGTTACACAAAAGCTCTCCAAACCCTACGGCACTCTTTCCCTGAGGTAAATACTTGCTGGCATATCTTTATTCATAACTTTTCCGCATGAAAAACCATTTTGTGTTTTGACTTTAAAGCTTAAATATGGAAGTCTCTGGGGTTGGTTGTATGTACTGCCTATTAAATTTTGGTTTCTAAAAAAGAAATTGCTGTTCAGAGTGCACTTACAGTAATTTTTTTTTTATCTTTTTGAGGCAGGGTCTCTCTATGCAGTTCAGGCTGGCCTTGTGCTCACTTTGTAGCCCAGACTGGTCTCGAACTCCCAATGAGCAATCCTCCTTCCTCAGCCTCCCTAATGCTGGGATTATAGGCCTGTGCCACCACGCCTGGCCAGAGTGCATTTATAATAAACAAACACTTTTTTTTTGTACCGGTGATCAAACTCATGACCTCACTCTTGCAAGGCAGGCACTGTGCCACTGAGCTATATCCCCGGCCCTGTCTTTTTAATATAATTTTTTGAGACAGGGTTTCGCTATAATGCAGGCTGGCCTTGAACTCACGTAACCCAGGCTGGCCTCAAACTCATGGTGATCCTCCTGCCTCAGCCTCAGCCTCCTGAGTGCTGGGATTACAAGCATGTGCCACCACACCTGGCCTTGTCTTTTTAGTTTTAAATGAGAATAGTACCAGAGTTTTAAAATTATTCCTTTATTTTGAGACAGGGTCTCACTTTGTATTCTAGGCTGCCCTCGAACTCACAGCCAATCCTCCTGCCTTAGCCTGCTCAACGTGCTAGGATTACGGGTGTGTAGTAGTACCATGCTCGGCTAGATTTAAGATTTAAAAGTATTGTTTCTTACAACCTTGAAATCTTGGAGGAGTGAACCAGTGGTTAATATTTTGTCTTTAGTTTCTTTGTTTGCTTTTTTTGCCTTTGTTTTTCTTTGTTTTGTTTTGTTTTTTTTTCGGTCAGGATCTCCCTATGTTGTCCAGGCTGGTCTTGAACCCCTCGGTTCAAATGATCCTCCTGCCTCAAGTACCTGGTACTACCAGGCTGTTTGTTACTGATTGATGCAAATAGACCAGTGGTTAAATGCACTAACTTGAGTTGATTAATGTGCCTTAGATTAGATTTGCTATTAATCATAAAACTTTGGGCGAGTTACTTCTCCAAGTCTTGGTTTCCTCCTTTGCAAAATGGGGAGTCTTCACACTACCTATATGACCAAATTGTTTAGTTATAAATAAAATATTGCCAAAAAGTACTTTGTTTGATTTTTGTTTTTTGTTTTTGATCTTGTTTTTCCAAAAAGTACTTTGTGAAAAAAAAAAATACTTTGTGTTCGCCCTCCTACATATAGGTTATCATCAATTGTCTTGGTTACTTTTCTCTCATTGTGGAGACAGAATACCCAAAGGAAAGGTTTATTTAGCTTACACTTTGTGGAGGTTTCAGACCATACTTGGCTGGTTCTGAGGCAGAGGCAGAGTGGCATATGGCCGAGGGCAAACATTCATGGTGGTGGAAGATAGCAAAGCAACAAGAGCAAAGAGAGGAATGGCAGAGCTAGCAAGCCTCTTTCCCTCCCTTATATTGTAAGCAGCCTACCCCCACCCAGGGGGCATGCTGCACTCACATAATCTCCATGCCCTCCTGCACAGGCTCAGGATGAGTACAAAGTAAGCACCCTGGCTCCCTGCTGAATCACATAGTTAACCTTCTAAACTTCTCACTTTGAAACAATGAAGAACATCCTAGAGCAGGAAAGGCACATCCTTTTCACCCTAGGTTGTAGAACTGCTGAGTCACCTTTATACTCCCCAAGTTATCACAGTGTATCAACCGGAACAATCCACTCCTTGTCAACCTGGCAACCAGACACATTTCTTTAAACCATTTTCCAGATACAAAGACGTTATATTACGTTACAACCATAACATTTCACCCCTCAAAGACTCACATACATCCCTTTATGCAAAAGACATTTAGACTATCTGCAAGTTGCCAAAGTCCTAATAGTTTCAGCATTTCTGAAAAGTCTTAAGTCCCGAGTCTCCTCCGAGATGTACAGCAAACTCTTAGCTGTGAGCCCCTGTACAAATGAAAAGTTAAACGCTTCCAACATTCAATGGAACGTAATAAACATTACCATTCCAAAAGGTACAAACGGGGATACAGAGCATTGGGACCAAAGCAAGTTCAAAATCCAGCAGGACTAACATGTCCTGTAGTTCCATGTCCAGCATCTGAAGCAATCTGTGGCACATTGTGAG